TTTCCCTGAGAGCTATAATCTCCAGCTATTCAAATGTAACGTCAATCGACATCTCCAGTTGCCTTGATCTATCCACTATCCTTCTCCTCATCCTTTCCTCTATCACTCCTATCTGATCTTGCTCCAAATCTTCTGTAACCCTTTGCGTGCTAGTGGCTTCCCGCCTTGTTTGGGGTGAAACACTTAAAAAAAATATCCGGAAATACTGGCTTTTATGTTTCCTTCTTTCACGGCGCAGATGGGGCACAAGATCCGTTTTGCTTGGAAGCACAGACGATGACCGGCTTACGGCTACATCAAATTGAAACCAAAGTTAAGCAACGTCAAATCTGGCCAGTGCCTACATGAGTGACCGCTTGGGAATATCAGGTACCGTAAGCTTGAATGTGTGGGTGACACGGAATCGTTAATCGGTGAGCCTAGTCGCATTCCCCGTTGGATTCCATATATTCACTTATGCACAAATACCCTTGTTCTCCCCACAGATATGGGTTAATTAACAAGATTTGAATCACTAAGCCATTATTATCTAAACCCTACCTCCCCCAAAAAAACGACTCTTACAAATTAAACATATTTTCTGGCTTTAAATAACCAGTAAATGGTTGAGAAGTCGTAAAACCGAATCACACTAAGTAAATAAAAATGAACTACAAAAAACATTTTGGTTAAACCGAGAACTTTTTAAAGCCCTCTGTAGGTTTGAGTAGAGGAAAAAAAGAAGGTTCAATCCCATCAATAGTTTTCATAATTTGTTCCTAAACTAATGAATGGCATCATGACTGAGGTATTTCAACATGTTCTGAATTGCTTAGTGTGGGTATTGGCTGGCTCGTTCACTCGGCGGCACTATGGTCGCTAAGGAGGCGAATATAAATATTTTTCGATATATATATATATATATATATATATATATATACCGAAAATAATCATACATAAATTAGGTACCTCCACGAAATCGCTAAAAAAAAGCATAGCTTGATGAAAAAGACGCCAACCTTGCCGAAAACAAAATTTTATTGTCTAAATGCTTATGTTATTATTAAGAGGAAAGACCAAAGTTTTTTTTTTAATTATTTTTAAAAAATTTTCCTTCTTTTTAGAACATTCTAAATTTTGATTAAAAAACCTTGTTTCTATTTGTATCAGCGGAACTAGTAAATAACATAGACAATTTTAGCACGTTTTTTGGTATGACACACATTAATTTGAAAAATCGTGCAAAAATAGAAATAATTATCGGATGTTAATGAAACTTTCAGGAACTATTCACAGATGATCGCAATTATTATAAATATGTTTTTTTTATGAAAGTCATGGTAGAAATATTTTTTTAAAATATTTATTACCCCCCACCCCATAACTAATTTTATGAAAACGCTAGAAATTCGATCGCATCGGTTTTAGTGATTACAATAATTAAAAGCACAGGGCTTTGAGGAATGCAAATCATGTTTTGTTTTTTTTTTAATTGGATACGCAGTACCTGAAAATCAGCTCTGAATTGTAACATACAAAACTCAATAAAACAAAGATATTATTTAATTTCAAATGCTTTTATATGCTTTTAGTTGTTTTTATGAATATGGACAATATTTTCTGAAAGCCAAAAAATTTTTTCGATGAAAAATGAATTTTTAATACAATTATTTGTTATTTCATTAATTATAATAGATTTTACATTTAAGTTGTTAAAATATTATAAAATTAGTTAAAAGCCGCATCGGCTTTCCTAAGTGTCCTTATGAGATAGATCTTTTTTTAGCGCGTTGTAAATTGTATCATTTTGACTAATCAGAAGATCCCCAGTAATTAAGAAATGTAATTTTGTGCTTATAATCGAGCTGTAATTATAAAATACGGAAGACCAACCAGAATATAATTAAGTTGCGTTATTTGAGTTAAGCATTGTTCTCCGCTGTTAAGGCCTTTACTTTTGCGAAACACGTGTGGAGAAGTTAATTTGATTTTTCAATTTCAACTGAGAAGGTTACCTACAAGTATCAGTATCATCTTATGAAATTTATATGATCTTATTTTTTATATTAATCTCAGTTACGACATTTTTCCATAAATGAAATATCAAAATTAATAATAAAATGAATGCAAATACAAATAACAGTAGAATGTAATAAATGTACATAAAATTATAGTATTTTATGTACAATTCTGATAAAATTTCATAAGAAAGGTACCTATAAATTAATTAGATACCTTTCTTAAGAAATATGAAATTTAATGTCACTCTTAAGTTTTATTTTAATTTCTTTAGAATATATTTCCCATAAAGCATCATAAACGTAAACGTTGAAAACTAAGTACAAAAAAAAAAAAAAAATTAGACCGCTGAAAGTTTTCGTTAAAAATAACGGGGTAAATAAGTTGTTCACGTAAATGTAAATTATTTTACTTTTCTCCTTCCGTAGAACAAATTAGCCTCATGGAATTCGTAACTATATCATTCATCACATGTCAAGAGACGCGAAAGTTTATGACCTGCTTTGTTTTATTTTCAAATTACATCTTTTTGGCACAAAAGCTAAGTTAAGTTTGGTTCAAAATATTTAAAATAAACATTATAATTTCTGATTTTCTTAAAATAAGTTTTGAAAAAATGATAATTGATATTTAAAAAAATTTCAAAGTCAGATTTCCAGTTTTTTTTTTAAATGGAAAAAAATGGTCAATTTTGCTGACTCAAAAAAAAATAGATTTTTAACGAAAATTTCGGACGTGCTAGGAACGATTAAAAAATGGAAAAAAATACCCCCAAAATACTTTGACCTTTCCTCTTAATAATAACAAACATTTAGACGATAAAATTTTGTTTTCGTCAAGTTTGGCGTCTTTTTCATCATGCTATGCTCTTTTTTTAGCGATCTCGTGGAGGTACCTAACATAAGTAAATTAATTTAAAAATTAATCTGGATCAACGTATTTAAGCAGATATTTCATTTCTCTTATTTAATAATTTAGGCTTATTTAAGTTTTTTTTTTTTCAACAAGACATAAGTTCATTATTTACATTATTCGGACTATTGTCCTCATCTTTGTCGCCATATTTATCACAACGTTTCGGCCGTGGTACGCTCCGGCCTTCTTCAGGTGGTTGGAATGTCGAAGTGACACTTTTTATTTTTGCCTTCTTTGTTTTTTTTTCTAAATACTCTAAATTTACTTTATGATTTCTTAGTTCTAAAGACTATATATATTTAGTTTTATTATTATTATCAAATATTTCCATATTGCTGGAGTTGGTTGATAATCTAACTTGGACTGATTTATGTAAAATATCTAGAATTTGGCGGTGGTGGTGGTTTGATTAGTAGAATGTAGGAATTTCTGTCTGAATTTCTGGAAATAGGAGTTATCATTATATATATATTAGTTACATAAAGTGTTCAGTTCGAAATTCACTGATGGTAACCAGGATCGGAATGCACCTACCAACCCAATGAAGGTCAGTGAGTAGAAGAACCGAAATGATGTGACGATAACAGGAAAAAAAAGAGGCCAGTAGCTCCCATGAAAATAAGGCATGAAATGAAAAAAAACACATACGTGGAAGTTAGGAGGTGATAAAAAGTACCAAAATAGGCGCGTCTCCCTCCAAATACGAGAGATTTCGAGTGTAACTTGCAACAAAGGATTTGTTTTCAATATAGATGCTTAATATCTCGTTTACGTATAATGAATTCAAAGAGAACAGCTAATTTAAGAGAAGCACGTTGGACTGTAGCATTGCAAACAAAAAATATGGTGTGGCTGAAAACGATTCTTTTGATAATGTAAAATAAAGCCAAAGTGAATCATTTATCTCTTTATCTTTACATGAAAAACATAATCATTATTTTAATCCACACTAGCCATAAATATACCGTCTGTAATTTATGTATAAGTGTCTGCGTTACTGAACTCATTATTTGAAAATTATTTTTGTACAAAAATACCTTATAAATTTTACTAAAGAAATATCTTGAAAATAATGCTACTACAGAAATGCATTTTAAATGATGTTGATATAGAAACGCATTTTGTAAATACGCTGGGTTTAATTTTGGGAAGATCATTTACCATTCCAAGAGTTACAATCGTAATTTTTTACGTACCCTACCAATGTGGCTTTACGGACATAAAGGTAAGATCCCCCGAATAAAAAGAAGGTACCATCTTAGTGGATACTTATTTGAAATGCTCTTTTGCATAGAGAATGTGAGGTTAATATTTTTCTTATTTTTTTTATTACCTTCGACTTCATTGACGAACAAGACCCGAGCGTAATTTGGTAATCAGTCATATTTCTGAAATCCTTCATACTGACCTAGATTATAATGACACGGTTCCATCGCTGTCTCTCTAGCTGATTTGTCATATGTGCTCATGCGCAAATCATCTTTTGCCGCATCTATGCAAAAATAACGTCAGCTGATTACGTGCTTTGCTTTCATTGGACCACTTTTAACTTGGATACGTAACATTGTCATGTACTGCGATGATTTTCTGATGACAAGCCACTCTTAGTTCGACACAATAACACAATTGTGGGATATCCAATCAGGATCGAACTAATGATATTAATAATGGGCTTAGACAAACTGTTACTCCACAGTGAAAAGAAAATTGTGCTTTATATGTTTTGCCCTAGATTAACCTTACAGTATTTCAAAAAATGTACACTATATAACTCTCAGTTGTGTTATATAGCCGGTTTATGTCAAGAAGTGACGCCTAAACTTATTTTATTACAAACATATCTACATTACGACTTAACTTTTCAAAAAAAAATGTCGAGGAAAAATCAATTCCTTTTTATCGGTGAAACTTCTAATATACTGAACGTTATGGCTTCCCATCTGCATCAATTAAAAGAAATAAGATATCAGTCATTCTACTCTTGTTTGAAAAATATACTGGCGCTACCCCAGCCAGAGGAGACACGGTGATTAGCAAACGGAGAAAAGGGTCAGCCTGCAAGTCGTAGACATGATCGCTAGGATATCATGACTCGATCTATACGCACGCACGGAGAGAAAGAAGGCGAAAAGACAGAAACGGTAAACGATGAGACTAAGGAAGCAGGTGTACCCAAGTAAAAAGTCATTGTTTACACCGTTTCCGGATTAACTATAAACAGACTGGTATCAAAACGTAAAGAATAAAACATGGAAAGTTTGTACAGCTCACTCTTAAATTCTAAGTTGAATATTAACACTTTAAGATCGGAATTATCTGAAAGGAATGGATTATTTTGAAGAAAAGAAGACAAAGGACACTGGCCTATGTAGAATATGGCAAGTAAGCACATGGAACTGACGCTACGGTGACACTGGAAATTGAACAAATAATTTGTCGTATATCATTCGTTAATCAAACATAAAGTATGAAGTCGTCTGGTAACATTCGACATAATTATTTGATATTATTCTTCTAATTTCGAATTAGGGAATCGTAGTGTATAACATATAATGTAAAAGCATTTAATAAGATTTGACACAACGGACGGTTTTAACTGCTTGGTAAGATTGAATTATTTGGTTTGGTTTACGACATATCAACACCTCAATGGGTTATTTAATGCCGACAATATTTTTTTATTGCTGGTAACGTTTATTTTTTTATTTTTTATTTTTTATTTTTTATTTTTTTTAAATATATGACTGGTAATATTCATTTCTAAAAATGTATTGCTGTTTTTACACTTTCATAGTGTTTCGACCCCAGTTTTGGGGTTAACTATTTGTACTTAGCTAGAACCCTAACAGGTGCTACCACTCCGGCTCAGAGTAGATCTGGGAACACCAGCAATTAAGAGGTGTTTCAACGCACCTCAAAACCTCCTGATCAGTGGCCTTGCTGCTGGATGTAGTTTATCGTCATAACTAGGACACCTATTTATTTGGGGAAGATATTAAAATACTCCATAACCTATACTAAGAAAAAAACAGCCTGCATATGGATAGAAAAGGAATTCAGTAACTACACAAAAATGGAAATGACATAAGAATTATTCAACTTTCAAAGCAAGACGATGCTAAGAGAATTGAAATTACTACCAGGATTTATTATTGACGGACACGATCTTAACAACATAAGAGAGTTTTTCTTTAACAGATTTTTTCGAACATTCAAGTCGGTAACCGAAAATAAATAAACTTTTTTTTAATAAATAAACGTGGAGCCTAATCAAATACGAGTATCCTCGAAAAAATAACGCTTAAATTTGTCGGCTTAATAAAAAAAAATCCATTCAAAAATTCTCTTTGTTTACATTAGAATAGAAAACTATGGAGATATGAAAAAATTTTGAACGATATATGACGGAAGAAATTTGTTTAAAGGCACAAATTTTGGCCTCGCCTAACTGACCAATCTCCGTGACTAAGTTGGTTAGAGCGTGCTGGGCTTAACGGTAGCTACCTGGGGTTCACATCCTAACGGAAAGCGCTTGGTTTTCTTTAACAGGATTTTGGGTACATTCAAGCAGGTAGACGAAAATAATTAAATATACTGTTTAATAAATAAACGGAGCGTCTACTCAAATAACGTTTAAAGTGATAAAAACATAATCTAAGCAAATGTCACAGTGTTAATAGGAGAGCACAGAGCGGAAACTACAAGGGCTCTTACAGAAGAAGTAAGAAGTGAAAATTATCGTTGTCAGTTAAAAGGAGCAGCCCAAACGTGGTTTGGAAATGACGAAATCATGCAAGTCCGAAAATTTAAATATCTAGGAAGTGTTTTAACAGTAGGCGGAAAATCTGACGTCGAAATACGAAATCTCGATCAAAAGAGGCGAGTTAATAACATGACGAGTTTTCCGGTTAATATTTTTTTAAGCGTTTCACCCCAAGCAAGGCAAGAAGCCACTAGGACGCAAGGGGTTACAGAAGATCAGATAGGAGGGTTAGAAGAAAGGATGAGGAGAAGGGTAGTGGATAGATCAATGCAACTGGAAATGTTGATTAACATTACATTTGAATAGCTGGAGATTATAGCTCTCAGGGAAACTGGAATAGGGAAGGGAGTTCCACAGGCGAGAGGTGCGAGACATGAAGCTATTGGAGTAGAAGAGACGGCTACATTTGGGAGTTTCGACAGTGAAAGGGTAAGAGCGGGATGCCAGCCTCGTAGGGTGCTTGAACTCATGAAGTCTGGGAACCAGCGAATGCAGCTCCTCGGAGCAATTGCCTTGAAAGTATTTGTAAAACAGACAGAGAGAGGCGACGGCGCGTCTGTGAGAAAGTGACTGTAGACGAGATGCCAGAGTAGGGCCAATTATATGGCATATCCGCCTCTGGAGCCGATCAAGAACTCTGAGGCAAACAGAAGGGGCTCCAGACCATATATGGTAGCAATACTCCATGCAAGGGCGAATTGTTGATTTGTAGATCTGGAGGATCGATCCCGGGGAGAAAAATTTCCTGGCACGGCACAGGGAGCCAACTTTCCTTGCGGTGGACGAAGGTGTAGCGGTTTCCGGTCTTGAGCGAAACTATCTCTAGCGTAGATCTATTCCTTGTACAATTTCCTTATCTTCTATGCTAAATCTGTTATAACTGTTCCATACACCGATGCATTTGAAGTATTTTGTATTTACTAAATCCACATCCTTGTGATGGATTCTGGGTAGGTACCGACACTACTTTCATGCCGATTCTAGACTACTGTTTCTGTTTTTTAAAAATGGTAGTTTAAGAATGCTGAGTCTATGGATTACGATGAGTCACAAGATGAAAAGTGTGTTATCATACCGTCATAATGAGCCGTCGACCACTTTATCTAATTGAAAATACGAATAGATTTTTTCTTCAGTTTTATTTGTCAATAAAGAATAACTCAATAAACAAATATTGGTTTAATTTCCAGACCATGTATATTTACGAACATCTCCCGTAGCCCAGTGGCAAATAACGTCATTTCGTAACCCAAGAGGTAGGTGGTTCGATCATTACTGAACGCCACGCTATTATGAACTTGCGTTGCCCTCTCCCCTATATTGTCTAGGAAAGAAAAATAGATTCACTAATAATTATTTCCCTTTCCATTCTAGGTGATTTGGTAGAATTAGAAGTCGCGACTTCTGCTAAAGTCTGGGAAGACTTTTAACAGAGGACGGAAAGTGCAACACTGAAATCCGAAGGCGAATTAAAATAGAGAAATATAGCCTCCAAAAGCTAAGCAATGTATTACGGATCAGGAAGTTTTCGTTACAAACAAAGAAAAAAAATCACGGAACTATTACGTAATATCAGTTCTCTTGTGTGGCAGTGAAAGCTGGACAAGCTACAGACGCATGAAGAAGAGACAGAAGGATGCTGAGAAAACTACGAACCAAACTTGTGAACTATGACGAAGTTTTAGAGAAAATCGAAACAAAAAGACAGTGGAACAGAGAAAGAAAAAAAAACAACGTACAACCGACCAAGCGTGCTTGAGTAAATGGATGGTAGAACAAGATTTAGGAGATAAAAAAAAAAAAGACAAAATTCATTAAGAGCTGCAGAGGACAGAAAATCGTGGGAAGTGTCGCCTTGCTATTGACAGGGCTCTTTCTCTAGCAGGGAGATAAAAGATGCATTTCAAAACAGCTGGTTATACGTACCATTCCCACACAATCCAAAGGTGGCAAGTTTCTTTTTTTTTGGGGGGGGGGATTATTTCTAGTACCCAGTGTTCCAAAGCGATCCCCAATCTAAGTACTGATCACACTTGTTGTTCTCATCTTTATTGTCATATTCACGACGTTTCGGCCGTTGCACGCTCCGGCCTTCTTCAGGAGATTGGAATTTCGAACTGAACTCTTTAATTTGTCCACTGGGATCGATTGTTCTAGTTCCACGTGCCATACCTCTTTAGGATGTCTCAGTTATCACCCTTTAACTCAACACTCCAAGTTTTTGTTCATCACTGCAGTAGCCAGGTATTGAACTCACAATTCTTCGTTACTGGATCAGTGTATGAATTTTTGGGACTCATAAAGTTAATGTCTGGGTAACCATTTTTAACCAGAGCTCATATTGCAATTTTGTTATTATTATTGCTTTTCTCTATCACCCCGTATTACTGGTTCCCATATTGTATTCATTTCTATGCTTGGCCGGTTGAGATTTTTGTGGCCTAGCATATGTGCTGATTCCTTAAGTTTTCGTATTTTTCAGTGATGTTATCTGTCTAATATTTCAACTTCATCCCACAGGAAGCGGTTATCTCCCTTTTCCCTCAATATGTGGTCAGCTAGGTCTGTTTTTCCCCTCACGCTACGGCTTTACGGTGTTCTTGTAGTTTTACCTTAAGCGCGAAGCCTGATTCTCCTTCATATTTATTACCATAGCTGCACAGGATGGCGTACGCACAATCCGTCGTCAAGTTCTCTATGTAGGGGTGCTTACTCGGATTCATTCAGGACAGAAGCTATTATATTCTTGTTATTATGCAATCATTTTCTTTACATTAAAACTCACCCAGTACAAGGGCAAAGAACCACTGGCGGTACAAGGTTACAGAGAGGCACAGTTTATAGGGATATGTGGAGAAGATAACTGTTAATTCTAGACTTAATTGTAGCAATCGGAGAAGTATCCTCTTGGGAGTCGGTACCACTAAGCAGTGGTTCGTGGGGAGAAGCTCCCCGATTGGAACCCCCCCCCCGTGAAATATAAAGAGAATTAGAATGGTTCGCTACAATCTGCGCTCGACTTGGCGGGTCATTGACGTGAAGTTTAGAATTTCTCTGGACATTGGAAATAACGATAGAATAGCAAGAGGCATATTTGTGGGAAAGGAGATGTAGGGTACAAGGACATGGAGAAGCTTTTGACCTCTATCGACACTGGAAAATAGCAGCAGTACTCGATGTTCGGTTTGATTTGACTCTTGTAAAGGTCGACGCACGGTGAAGTGATGGATAGCGGTTCGGATTGAAGAATCGGAGAGCCGAGTTCGAATTCGGGTCGAATCCATTACATTCACTTACTTGGGGAAGGTATGAATCCTCTTCTTCCCCACCCCCAGTTATGGGTAAATAGCAGGACAAGAACGGGTTCTATAGCCTCGGATGGCAACTGGTCTACCGCAGAATGAAATAGCAACCTGCTGCGGAGTAAAAAAATCTACTTCGTCAGTCATGTATCGAAAGATACATGATCGCCTAAACGTTTATCACGCATGGTACATAACTGAATGAAAGGTAGAAGATAGCAGAAAGAATCAGGTTTTTACAGCGGTACAGGGGTGAGCGAATGAGTATCAGCAGGTATTTTTAAATAAATCCTAGTCGTAATATAATGGTTTGAAACAGATTTGTATATAAAACTACCATAAAGTTTTTTCATGATCAAATGCCATGTCTAAATCATGTCTTTTTTTATTTATTTTTTTCCTTTCTTTTTATAAATAAACAAAGAAACAATCTGAAAAAAAAAAAAAATCCGAAAGACTTTTTAAACGTTTCGTGCCCGGAAAGAAAGCTTCTTTCGCCTTTTGCCGTAAGTGCTCTGAAAATGGGGAAAATTACTGGTTGGAAAAGAAAGTGAAGAAATATTTGCTTTGATAACTAAAACAGTATTGTCGTCAAGATGAAAGTCGTCTGAATGCTAAAACCCCCGACTACGAAAAAAAAATCATGTGAATTGTGCATAATGAACTGGTCGAGCAAAAAAAAAAAATTACGAAGAGATATAATTCAAAAGATTCGTTGACGTCGCTTATGACCAAAAAATATAGTACTTGGCGTAAACAATAACCTTAACAAACCATTAATCTTTACTAGAAATATAAAAAAAAAACATTAGAAAGCTGTTTTAGAAGAAAATATACAATAAGGAATTAATCTTGAAGTGTTTCTCTGTATTTAAATATTTTATCATAAAAATGAATGCAAAATGTCACACAAAACTAACGAACTCTTGTAACAAATAAGAAATCAGACGAGAGGAACATGAGAACGATATAAGAATGGTAAGTGGAAATAAATTGAACATCGATACATTTTAATTACAACAGTCTCAAAAGCATAAGATAAATAAGAAAAATCAAGAAACTATAGTTTCATATTATGCGCCATGTCTTTTTATGACATGAACGACCATGACTCTCCACAGCAAAACTTTAAAAAAAACATGTTTTCCCCTGTTTGCAAATCTCGTTAACCTTCTGAATTTATTATTATCTTATTATAATTGAGCTTGTCCTTTCCTTCATCGGGGTGGTAGCATATTAGCTATGGAAAAATAGTTACCACCACACACCAACTGGGGTCAAAACAATATGAAAGTATAAAAATAGATTTTTATAGTAAAAATACCAACAATACATTTTGAAAAAAAAAGATTACCAGTAACATATTTGACTCTCAACAAAATAAGCTCTCTACAAAAATACATCAATAAAACCGGATCTACAAACTGTTTTCTTACAACACATACATATTCTAGTCATACGAATCTATTCTAAAAATCTTGTCGGTATTAAATAATCCACTGAGGTTGATATGCCGTAAAACAAAATAAACCTAAACCCGCCCTTCGTTATTTCGCACTACCGTTACGCCCTGCCAATACCAAATAAATAATGTACTATTGTTTTGATCGCTTGGGAAGAGGGAAAAGTCACTACTTGGTTTCAGTGGGAAAATGAAAGAAACAAGGGAAGATAGAAGTGGGGAGAGAGAGAATCAGATTAAGCTGATAAGAACAGATACTTCAATTTGATCTTAGCCAAAAGGCCGTTTATTTACTTGACCCCCCACCCACTGTGACACAGGGTCACTTTTTAACGTGGGGACCCGAGTGTTTTCACTCGGGCCGCTGGTCTAAGTTGGTCTTAGCTGGTCATAGCTTGTCCAAGCTGGTCAGAGCTGGTCTAAGCTAGTCATATCTGGTCTTGGCTTGTCATAGCTGGTCCAGGCTGTTCAGAACCAGTCCAAGCTAGTCTTAGCCGTGATACTACCAGCACAGGGCCGGAGCCCGGAGCCCGGAGCCAGGTAAGTATCAAGCGATCAAATCTCAGCCAAAAGGCCAAGAAGCGATCTTAGCCAAAAGGACGAGAAGTGATTGTATTTTGCAGCCGCTCCACGCTGTCGAGATGTGACACAAAGTCATTTTAATGCGAGGAACCAGTGCGCGTGCACCAGGTCAAGGTCCAAAAATAGCCCAGCCCCTCCACAACCGTCGGTTGCACTGGTATTACTACTGATCCACCTTCTTTAGAGCAATGAGGGAGGTGCTGCTGCTCGCAGCTCTTTTCCGAGGCCGGGTATCCTTCAATAATATTTTCAGTTGTGCCCTATCCACAGGCAGAGACACAATTAAGAGATTAAATGCAATTTATCCACCTGAGGGCAGATGCTATACTTTGATCCCAGTCAAAAAGGCCGAGAAATGCAGATTATTGAAGGACGGGTACCGAGTAAGACAATCGCCCAAAATCCAGTTACCATAAATAAAATAACATCGTCTGCTGAATTATTTTAAAATTATTATCAAGAGAAATGTTCGCAAAACAGGGATTTGGCATTGGTTTGATAAAATGTCGTTGTGAATTACGCAAAAATGAAAATAACACTGTTATCTCATTTTAGCAGATATATTTACAAAAATTGCACAAAAATATCTTGAAATACTAAAGAGTAAATTTATTCAATAAAATTGCCATTGGTCTCCAGACGACTTCGGAATCACCTGCATCTCTTCTGGACGGTCTCCTTGTTTATGCTGGTGAATGCTGCCATAATCCTTGCCTTCAGTTCATACTGTCATGTTACAAAGAGTTTTGTTGGTTATACGCTCAATTGCGCCCCACATAATAATCAAGGGTCTTGCAAGCTAGGGAGTTAGGTGGCCAGATATAAGGGCTGACGAGGTCGCAGAAATTGTCTGACTGCCATGACTGGATTCTCTTTCTTGTGTGGCATGGTGCTGAGTCCTGTTGCCAGATATAGGGCAGCACTACTTTCTCAAGACACTTGGTGTAAGCCTCAAGTGTTGGGTTTGAGGCCCTGTAGGAAGGTGAATGGGAGCATGTCACCATCACTAGTGATCACTTCAAACATCTTCGTAATCACCAACAGACTCATCCAACTCTTTCCTAATACTCTGCACCGTCCTCACATTAACACCCAAACACTCTGAAATGTTCGTATTGGAGCTTCCGCTGCGAATGTCAATTAGTACAGCATGTCGTTTCCAAATTTCTGGCGGAGAGAATTGTTTTATGGTGCTCTTTTTTCTCGTAGATGGTGCCTAACTGAGACTACTATATTGTGCAGTCAACAAAATAAAAAACAAACAACACGCATGCGCGAAATTAAAAATATAAAATGGCGACAATTTAGCCTTCGTACCCTGTAGTACATGTTTTCATTAAGACTTTCTCGTTGCTTACATATTTTCTCCGTGATATTGATACTATTTATCAGCAGAAACCGGTCACTAAGTCTCTTCTTCATCTGTGAGGAGATTTTCTAGTATTCACTGCCGTATAGGAGTTTAGATAGAACTAGAACAGTCTAGCCCAGTGAGAGAAATAAAGGGTTCAGTTCGACATTCCAACCACCTGAAGAAGGCCGGAACGTACAACGGCCGAAACGTTGTAATAAATATGGCGACAAAGATGAGGACAATAGTCCGAATAATGTAAATAATGTACACAATATCTCATCTCAGAAATATAGACAGATCCTTTTTTCTATAAACTCTCGTGCGTTGAAGGATGACGTCGACAAATGTGAATTTATAATAAAACAGAACGTTACTAATTCACTTCCAAAGAAAATGCTATTTTTTAATCTCCAGGATATGTTTGTGCTTATGCAATTTTTCTACATGGTCAAATTATATTGTTCTAGATTGTGGTATCTACCCAATGGATACTAAAAATCAATGTATTATCATCGATTTCAATAATACTGTGACATGTTCTCTAATTATTTTTATATTTTGGTCGTGTTACTTGACGAGTTACTAATAATGATGGAAACGGATTTTCAATTTCACCTCGTTTTTCAATAGAATGTCTATTCATTAGTTCATATTTTCTTTAATATTAATTTTTCCTGGTTTTCATGTTGCGTGAGGATTTCTTTCATTTTCTTTCTTTTTCTTTCTTTCTTTCTTTCTTTCTTTCTTTATTTATTTATTTATTTATTTATTCCTTTCTTTCTTTCTTTCTTTCTTTCTTCTCAGATCACGATTTTTTCTCTTTTTTATTTTGTCTCCATCGCCGTTTTTCTTTCTTTCTTTCTTTCTTTCTTTCTTTCTTTCTTTCTTTCTTTCTTTCTTTCTTTCTCTGTTATATTTTATCGTTGTTTATTTGTCTTCCTTTTTTTAAAATTGTCTTAACTCTTTTTTTTCTTTCTTGCTTTCTTTCTTTCTTTATTTATTTATTCCTTTCTTTCTTTCTTTCTTTCTTTCTCTGTTATATTTTGTCGTTGTTTATTTGTCTTTTTAAAAAAAAAAAAATTTCTTAACTCTCTTCTATTCCCAGATATAGGTTAAATAGTAGAAGTTATATCTGGAAAAATTCATTGAAAGCATCGTAAATGTGATATTCACTCACAAAAATATCCTTACAATCCAAAATATGTTTCAGCTTAAACACACAGCCTGAAAAGGCGTAAAGAACCAAATCCATCAATCAAGTTCATGTCTGGATGAAGTGTTTTTTCTTTCCTAATAGCAATGACGCAAGTCATCATAATGTTCTGTTTTTATGTATATCTTCTTGCTTGTGAGCATGTCATCCATTTATATGGTCGAAATAAAATCGTCTGCATATCGATACCAAAAATCACTTGTATGTATCTTTGGTTTCTTATTCTTTTTTAATACACTTCGCCATCAGATTTCTTTTTCGACATAGGCAACTTCCATTATTTTATTTGAATCCTACCGTTGATTATTTTCTTACGTTAATATTATCTGTGGTCAAATCAGTTCTTATTTTTAGGTTTCTTTTTAGTAATAAATAAAATTAAATGCTCACTTATCTTCTCACTCCTCGGAATTTCGCCGAGATTATGTACACTATTAATTACATAAATGATCGCTCTATTGATATCAAACGCTCTAATTACAAAGAATTCTCGCCTTAACAACGTTCTCTTCCAGAAATGTTATGGTTGATCTTTTTGCGTAACACTGTCTTTGTCATTATTATTTATTTCATATAATACATCATAATAAGTCAATTATATTATAAATACTGTCAAATGCTAATTAATACTAAATATTATTATTATTATTATTTTTATTTTCTTTGATTTCTGGCGTTTACACATTTCTTTCCGGGTCCCGCCCAGGGACCCAAGGTTAGAAATGGCATCATGACACTGTCCACTGACAAAAAAAAATTTACATAGGTAAAGCCCTTCGTAAAGTGTGGGCTGTACTTGTCAGAACAATTTTTTGTTTCTCCTTGAGGCATGGACTTCCAGGAATCCCTTCAATTAGTCTATTGCAATCTTTTCCAACCAGTCCTAGGGCTCCAACTACAACAGGGATTGTTGATGTTCCCATATGCCACATTTTCGAGATTTCTATTTCATGGTCCTTGTACTTTGACAACTTTTTGAATATCTTCAAAGATACATTGCAGTCAGCAGGGTCTGCCATATCAATAAGGAGGCACCGTTTTTATTTGTGGTCTTTAATAACAATATCTGGCCGGTTGGCCTTGATTGTTCTGTCAGTGTGTATTGTGTAGTCCCATAGAATTTTAACAGGTCCTATCTCCGTAACTGGGTCTGGGTGGTGTTCATACCAGTTTCTTTCAGTTTCCTTCCCGTAGAAGTTGCAGATTTTCCAGTGCAGATATTGGCCCACTCTGTCATGTCGGGTTTTATATTCAGTGGGTGCCAACACCGTACAACCTGATACAAGATGATCAATCGTTTCTGGATATTTATTACAGAATCTGCATTTTGGGCTGACACAATATTTTAGTACATGTGCTTGATAATTCCTAGTTAGCAAGCATTGGTCCTGCGCAGCAAGGATAAAACCATCAGTTTTTGCTTTCAACCCTGCACTACTTAGCCACTGATGGGTACGGGTTTTGTCTACATCAGCTTGTTTGGTACGGGCAGAGTACTGGCCATGAAGCGGTTTATCTTGCCATCGCTTCTGTATCTGGTCGGTTGCATTCGTCTTTGCTATCTTTTTTAGGTATTTTGCAGTTTCAGCCGGTGTATTGTGCTGTAGTTATTATTATTATTATTATTATTATTATTATTATTTCCGCCATTTCTGCTGTATAATCATTTACTTCCTGGTCCCAGCCAGAGACTTAAGTTCAGAAATGGCATAAAGATTTTTTCCACTGAATATTTTTTTACCCTAGAGCACACACATTTTACATTGATAAAGCCCTTCGTAAGGTATGAGTTGTGATTTTGATAACAATTTGCTGTATTTTTAAGGCATCTGCTATCAAGGTCCCCTTCAACGAGTCTATCAAAACTTTTTCCAATCAAACCAAGGGCTTCAGCCATAACTGGAATGATTGATGTCCCCTTGTGCCACATTTTTTATATTTACACTTCAAGATCCATGTATTGTGATAACTGTTTTTGAAGATCTTCAAAGATACATTACAGTCAGCAGGAACGGGCATGTTAAGAAGAAAGCACATTCTGTTTTCATAGTCTGTAATCATTATGGATGGGCGATTAGCTTTCATTGTTCTGTCTGTGTATTATTATTATTATTATTATTATTATTATTATTATTATTAATGTACCCGTGCCGTCAAAATTGATGGCAAGAAGGAATGTATTATAAGTAATATATATTATATTGTAATTTTCGTTTAATTCGAGTACAATTTTGTAATTTAAAATATTTCGTTGTTAACGTTATTAATTGAAAAAATGTACAATTTATAGATATCTAAGAAAAGATATTTGTATATTATCCTCATAAATTTTGTATATTTACAACCAAAATTATGTTTACTCCAAAAGGTGCCAAAACACAATATTTTTTGTGTAAACTTTGGAACGTCTGAGTAATCCTTGACAGTTCAGAGATTGAATATGTAATGCCAAAGTCTGTTTATTTTTCGACCTACTAAGAGCTACGTATCATCAGATATTTAAAAAAAAATTGTTCCCACCACCTCTTATTTTATTATGATTTTTAAAGTTTAAGATGAATTTCTAAAAATGAATAAAGTGTTCTTGAAAATATATGTGGCGTATTTTATATACGAACCCTCTTCGATAGCGATATCAGTAAGAGTCAACAGGGCCAAGTTAGTACGGGACCGGGTGGGTCATCATTATTTTGCACACTGTCCCTCAATTATTACACATAAAAACGTGTATATATATATATATATATATATATATATATATATATATATATATATATATATATAAGAACACCGGATTATATATCTTACTGTTCTTTCTTTTTTATATATATATATATATATATATATATATATATATATATATATATATATACACTGCGTGCCAAATTATTATCGATATTTTTTATAATATTTCAAAAACCGTCCAATCAATTCACACAAGATTTTCACACAATGTTGGCAACACTGACCTGCGCAATCACTGAAATTTTCGACCTGATCTGCGCAATGTAAACAAACTGGCGCTATATTTATTATCAGCTCGGTGATTTGAGCGTGCCAAATTATTAGAAAAGTGTAAGAATTTAGTAAAAAGATGGGCCATAAAAGCAGTTTAAGTAATGCTAAAAAGAAAACAATTACCTCAGAACTCTCAAAAGCTAAATCTACCCTAGAAATTTCTAAAATGATAGGGAGGTGTCATCAAACAGCGAAAAAGTTCACCACCGACCCTACACAAGAACGCAAAGGGCAGATAAAGGCAAGCCAAGGGTTATTTCACGTCGTCTCATGTCACGACTTAAACGAGGGGCCACAAAAAACCCTGGACTTACCAGCCAAGAGCTTTTTAGTCGTATTGGGGATCCTACTGTGTCTAAAAGTACTCGGTGTCGGTATCTGAGGGAAATATCAACAACAGTCAAACCTGTATCGAAGCCTCCGTTGACGAGAAATCACATTCAAAATCGATTGAAATGGGCTGAGGACATTATGAAGATTGACTTCTCCAAAGTTTTGTTCACAGACGAAACTCGAGCAACACTTGATGGGCCAGATAGATGGTGCAAAGGCTGGGTAATGAATAGAGAGAATCGCCATCAGCGTTTGAGACGCCAACAAGGCGGTGGAGGCATAATGATCTGGGTTGGTATTATTGAAATATTTGGAAAAAGTTATCTCGATAATAATTTGGCACGCAGTGTATATATATATATATATATATATATATATATATATATATATATATATATATATATAGTTAAACCTAGAGAGCCCGACAAACCTACCATGGTTTTACCTAAGCAGATCGTCAGGGAAGGTTGGGTTCCCTGACAATCCGCTTGGCAGGTTTGTCTGGCTCTCATGGTTAACTAGGTCTGCTCTACTCATTGTATTGAGCATTTTATTTAGTTGTTTTGGATATTCGCATCGGGGTATTTTTCTTTGGGCCTTGAACTCGTATGCTGGACGATTTTTTTCGGCTAACGTACATGTTCTTGGTTCTTTCTTTTTTATACCTTTTTTCCCCTTTGGTGTTGGCTTGTTTATTTGCAAATCAATATACTGAAGGTTTTCCGAGCGAGTATAGTTTCTTATACTTGTAAGATTTCTTAATTAAATATATATATATATATATATATATATATATATATATATATATATATATATATATATATATATATATATATATATTGTGCATTATATATGTTGTGCATTATATATAGATAGATTATTATTAAAATATCGTCACTGTCATTCCTCGACGACTGACAGAGGGGACTGCATATAGGTCAAAATTGTTTTCTGATGTCCTCAAGGGCACATGGCACAGTGGATAAAGGTGTTGGTTAGATCCAGCGATAGACCCAAAGAAGGTGAGTTCAATTCCTGGAGAACTTTCAGAGGAAAAATTAGCAGGAGATAACTGATAACTGACATCCATCAAACATGGCACGTGGAACTAGAACAGTCTACCCCAGTGATCGAAATAAAGGGTTCAGTTCGAAATTCCAACCACCTGAAAAAGGCCAGGGTACAACGGCTGAAACGTTGTGACAAATATGGCGACAAAGATGAGGACAATAGTGAATACTGTACATTATACCTCATCTCAGAAATATAGACAGACTCTGTTTTCTGATTTATTTCATTTTTTCTTAGTAAGGAAAGCATCTGTATAATTAGCAGTTAACAAACC